TAATAGTATATGTCTGTCTAGGCTAATATAATATACGAACTATAACGTTAATTATAATAAATGATAAATCTAATCATGCAGTAATACTGTTAAAAATAAAATACACTATCATATTTTAAAAATTGATCCACAAATTCTCTTTTCATAATTGTTTTATCTTATTGTTTACACAAAAAAATCGCACGAAGAAGTTCCGATCATCACGCACCTGCTCAAGCCTGCTACATGATGTAAGCCATAGAACATTTGCTTATACATGAATGTTTTTTTTTTTAATTCGAATTCAATAAGCTTAAAATTTATACTGTACCTAGGAATTTGTTTTGAGACCAGTACATGTCTACACTTGGTAGCTGGTTGGTACCCATAAGGATATGGAGGCCAAAGTACGCCTTGATTTCTAGGGCAGATGTGTCGAACCAGTCTAAGTCACGGTGACCCCTCTTCTCAAACTCCTGAGCAGCATACCTGTTTGTTTCAATGGACACTTTCTCAAAAAAATCCTCCGACACCATCAAGTAGAAATAGCTTAAAATACTGTCAGTCGGCGACAAATCATGATTTGGACCCGTTTCTTCTGAGAAGGGTGCAATCGTCACAGGATGCAAATCACTCGACCAAAAATGGGGACCTTCTGAATCGCTGATCTGACTGGAGAAAGTCTCTAGGGATGACTGTGAGTTCGGATCCTCATCGTCCGTATCAGATGAAAAGGAATCCAAAGGATCATCAATGTTAATGTCTGACCCAGCAGAACTACTATGTGAATCGTCAGTTGATAAATCACTTTCGCTGTCGCTATCACGGGAAGCCATGTTAATTTTCCGCGCTGTTTACATAGTTGCTATACAACCAACATATGACGTAAATTTTATAATTTTAGAAACAAAACCTTGCTTAACTTGTCGGAAATCCTTTTGAATTTATTTTTGGTTATTTTAAATTTAATCATAAATATTTGAAACATTTCATTTATAACGCTTTGTCAAAGCGAATAAGAACGCGACATTCTCTGTCTTCCAAGTTATAATTAATATTTTTTGTTGACGTTACAAGTTTTTTTTTTTTTGGAACGATGGGAACAACCGCTTTTCATTCGCGGATATCTTTTTTAGTTTTATATATACAAGAATATGTTCAGACAAAAAATGTAGTAAAAATCTTCCTTGTTTTAAATATAGTAATTTCATCTGGAAAATTTGCACATAAGATTAAGATTTGTTTATTATAAACAAGCCGAAATTCGGCATAATTAATGAGTTTTGACTGCTATTTTGCAGGTAAATGCGTATTTCAATCGCATTTTTTAATATTTAAACGACCTTACACAAAAAAAATTTCTTCACAAAGAAAATTCGAAATTTTCTCTAGTTTTCAAACATATCAATATTTTTTTTGTATTCTATGTCGTTACATCACACGAGCGGTTTTCCCTCTGCGAGCATTAAAATGAGTCAAAAGGCGCACTTGGCCGTTAAGGGGTTAAATACATGTAGCTACTTAAATCAGTATATTATAAAATTTATTAATTGTAAGAAATTTCGTATATCTATTTTTTTCCTTTTGTTTTTTTTCTTTTCATCGGCCAATACACTTTTGAAAATTGTACTCAATCTGGCCGACGAAAAAATGTGTTATTACATTTTGCATTCCTGCCTTTTGCTTAATCTCGACGCAAAATGTAACAACACAAAATGTAATAATCCAAAAATCGTGTTATTACATTTTGCGTTGATTTCGACGCAAAATGTAATAACGCGAAATGTAATAATCCTAAAAAGTGTGTTGTTACATTTTGCGTTATTACATTCTGCGTAGATTTCAAAATGTACAAAATGTAATAACGCAAAATGTAACAATCCAGGTTTATTACATTTCGCGTTGTTATTACATTTTGCGTTGTAACACAGCATACTTACATTAATATTACAATAATTGTTAGGGATTTCAGAATATTCAGTAATTTCCTTGAAAGTGATTTCTTCCTAATTTTTTCTTTCCCGATAATATACCATGTTCCCTACCGATAGCATTTTGGGTAGTTCAGATTGTCTGCAAGGCAAAACAATATCAATTCATGTAAAAAAGAAAAATGTATATGCATATTTTTGGTAGAAATTTCTTTTTATTTACAATTGTCATGTGATGCATATGGAACAAACAGAGCGAGTATTTCATGCTGACTCAAGAAGATCATTTTTATAAAGTGTTATATAGTAATTTAATTGTTACGCATAATGTTTTAAGTACCATCATACAAAAACCTATGTTAAAGTCTATATTTTATTCAACAAAAGAAATAATAGCATCCTTACCTTTTGAAATAGGCTACAGTAACACCTATTCCAAAGAACATTCCAAACAGTGCTCCGCCGACGAAAAAGAGAACGTTCCTTGTTCCGATAATCAAACATAACGGCCCTTTTCATTCGTCTATTTTCGTCTTCAATTATGCGCTTTTCGGACGTGCAAGAACCGGTGTCATGACAGCCACCGTGCTCTGTTCAGTCAGTAAAAACAAGATATTTTTTTTCTATTTACAGTTTTTTTAATCTATAAATAAAATCAATATAAACAATATTAACAACATATTTATACAAAAAATTATATACAATAAATATCACTTTAAGTTTCTAGATTTTCTATATGTCATCCTAGTGTACCACTCGACCACGTCCCGACATGCCCCGTTTAACAATCCCCCCCCCCACTGGCTCCCAGAGGGTTTCCGGTCCAGGTAACGCTGGTGCCTCGTGTCCACAGAAAATGGCTGAAATATAGCTGGAATATGTCTGGAACATTGCTGGAATATGGCTAGAATCTTTTAATTAAATAGTTTTTTAATTAAATAATTTTTTAAGTCGCAAGTTATGTATACTAAAAAAATCAAGTCAACATTGACTATAATTGCACTTATGGCACACCATACAAAACGTACCGGTAATTCTAGCCGGGCACTATTATAAGACAATGTTAAGAATATAAACAATTTCTTAACAAAAGCGGTTTTAACAATTATACCCACAACACCGACTTTATAAGCGGCATAACTTAGTACATTGCTCAAAAATAGAACAATACACGCATGAGTAACTCTACCCAACAAAACTTGTATACGTGACAAAAACATCTTGTACCGTTGTACCTCAAGCATTTAGAATATAACCTACTTATTCAGCCAATCAAATGCTTCCATATCTCGCGAAGAATTGATTCTTCATGGTGAAGAATTCTTCTATTTCTGAAAAATTCAACGGTGTCTGATTGGTTCACTTGACAGTTAAATGGGTGTGTCTTTGGTCTTTGTTCAACACACAAAAAGAAACTATTCAAAACCCACGTGCTGTTTACAATGATATTTAAACTTTCTAAGCCTTGCTACACTTTTTTCTCCACTGTAATCTTTTGTCGCCTTTCTGATTATTATTGTTTTTTACATTTCGGTACATACAGAAAATACAACCAACGTCATGTATATCTGAGACGAACATTGTCTTTGAAGACAGATTTAATCACAATTTTCAACAAATTTTTATTTGATATTAAACAGCGATACCCACTCCTGCTAACTATATATAGCTAGAGCCTTGTCATCTTAACACAATAATTTTTTCAATAATATAGATATTACGATTCGTGTAACATGGGTATTCATTTAGTTCCAGTAACTTTAATATCTTCACCATACCATTTCCCAAGTAAATCAAGCTATTTCATAAACTCCTGTGCAAACCTGAATGGGTTGAGAGTCCATTCTGAAACCGCGTGTGTTCGATATTGATTGCGTGCTCCATATGTACAACGAGCGGTCAATTTGAGCCTTATATATGACACAGCCGTGGGAGGAGTTTATTTTTAATCCATTCATTTGATTGGCTGAGGTTCTGTTCTAAGTCAGTAAGATCATATGAAGAGAAATCTTTGTCATGAAGAAGATGTCTCTTCATATGATCTTACTATTACGAAGAAACGATGAAACGTGGTCCACAGCTACTTGGTCAGCTATGCAGATATTTAAATACCCTCTTTACAATAGGCTGTAACTGACCAATGCCTGCAAATCTAAACTAGAGGTCCGATAAAGGTAACAATATAAAGAGGTCAAATAAAGGTAAATAAAATAAAAACCATAAAATAATATAAAAACAATTACGATTAAATATTATATTTATACTTGTTAGCAGCAAGAAAAGGTAAGAAAATGAAAGATCAACGTACCTGTATGGTGTCTATACCTCGCGTACCTTTAGAAACCAGGTATATCAATTAACAATCCCTAATTCTTGTGCTGATCCGCTTTGTTTTCATTTTTATGTTGGTGGCAAAAGAGACACAATTTGGACAGTGAAATGTGAACATGTACACTATGACGGCTATTGTCTACCATCTTGGATATAAAGAACCAAATGATGGGACGTACAACGCTCTTTTATGATTTTTGCATCTGCGCTTCATCTAAGAAACTAACAACAAATAAAACACGGTATAATTCATGTTAGTCGATGTTCCATACCAAATTTTTGGTCTGATTACCCTCTCAATAGCCGCCTTAAACGCTCTAACGAAAACATTTCGAAAAGAATCAAGCGCCAGAGCAGTAATCGCCAACCTACCCTTGCATTCCTGATGCTTACTTCGCCCGTGAAGGTCATTGGTTGTTGCATACATGTACGTTGCTTCATGAATAAAACTGTCCACTCCTGAGGTTAGAAACATTACAAAATTCACTACGGCGTCTTTGTCGTTTTACATCCGAGACTATGATTTGAGTTTGGAAGACATTCGAGGATTTACGATTGGAAGATTTCTGGCATACATCAATGGGAGATAACTTTTTTTTTTAGGAAATAAGTTTTTAGGCTAGATTTCTTAAACAGTTTGCATTCGTCAGGTCTATCATTTTGCATACATGTAATTGTTATTCAGCTTGGAGATTGGATTTGGGAAGATTAAATTCATAAAAAAAAAAACCAAAACAAAACAAAACATTCTACATGTACTTTTAAATTCACTGGACACGGGGACCCAAACTCAAAACTTCAAATGTACATTTCTTTTTAATTTGACATCAAAAGCGGAAATTTGTTTGGTGAGATGATCTTATTCAGTCTTAACTTTATTTGAAAAAGAACACGAACTAATTCAGCTTCATGCGACCTATCTCATGTCTTCGAAATTGCATAATCTCACGTTAACCTGCACTTAACAATTCCCAGCAAAAATAAACTTATCTATTCTTACCTTTTCCACGTTGCATTAAATTGAATTTAGTAGAATTGTACTTGTGTATTGATCTATGAAACTTTTTCCAGCCTTTGAAGATGTCACTTCTAATTGATAGCGATTCAATGTTTTATTTTTATACGTATCTACTGTCATTTTTTCTTGACATGAGCGATCTTGAAGTGAATCATTGTGTGTTTTGGCTTTACAGAGTAGGGTAACGTAAGTTGAACGTAAACTACCCTGTCCATGCTGTCTGGAGACGTCCTTACAGTCACATCTTATTTCAAAGCATTTTCTATTATTCAGTGAAACAACACATATCTCCAGTGGTCCTTTTCTTGCAACTTTGAATTCGATATAAGTATCTTCATTTGAAAAGAAATCACTGATCATCGAATTTTCAACTTCTATCGAAGAAAAAAGGAAACAAAATAAACCAGATAGTTAATATTTTAGAACAATATTTTGAGTAGTTTGACTGTAAGGGGTAATAATTAAATCCTTTCCAAAATTACGTCTTCCCAGAAAAATTTAAGCGATTGATACAATATGCTAAACAAAAAACAATATGTTATTTGTTTTTAACATGTTTGGTTGATGATGAATGTTGTATTATATATAATTAGCTCTCACCTGTTAAATTTGTTTTTTGAAGTGTCTCTTTTATTTTTTCGATTATATTTTCAAAACCTCTGTAGAATAAGATTAAATTTAGATACATTAATACAATCAAGTACAGTGTAATATCTTTTGTCAAATTTGAAATATCCGCTCCCCAGACAGAGATCCTAACTCTTCTGAATATTATTTTGTTTCAATTTTATAAGTCAATGCAGCTTGAAATGGATATTTATTTGCCACTTCTTTTCATTCATGCATCTGCATATAATAAAAGTTTTTTTTCAGTCTTTAAAAGGGTCCTCTAAAATTTTTTTGCCCCAATAAATGTTTTAAAACGAACACAAGTAAACATTTTATCTTTTGATAAATCTTTTCTTTGATAAAACTGCTCTTGGGATTTTGAAACTTGATTTTTAGTATCTCAATTCATTCGCACTTTTTATGTTTATCTGTATTTTGATGATAAGCATACCCGTTGAAATATAAATATAAGTTAACAATCAATAAAATAAAACAAATAAAATCAAACAATAGAAAATTCAAAACTTACACTATCTTCTTCCGGCTATTAAGATAAATATCAAGCGGTTTACCGCAATTTGACGCCATTGTCAGAGAAGATGAGATGAAAACTGAAATAATAAAAAAAGGAAATCAGGATCACAAGTATCATTAGTAATCATTATGAGCCTGTAATTCGTTTCAATGTGAAATTAATAAAGAAAGCAAAATTGATTTGCTTGTCAAATTGCATAATGACGTTTTATTAATATAGAATCAAGTTTTGAAACAACCGATACTTTTTTTTATTCCTAATGGTTATCAAATTAAACGTTAGTTTTTGCTCTTTACCATACTTTGTGTTTATTTCTAAAATGGTAATGTCCATCATTAATAAGAAATATAATATGAAAAGACTTACACACTAATGATAAAGCAATCATTATTCCCATCAGCTTTTCAATCTATTCAAGAAGTCCTACAAAATGGAAGAAGGTACTTTTGCTCCTTTTGAGTTCTATACTTTTACAACAAATTTTGGACTGTGTCATGTATCAGTTTCTAGAAAGACAAATGCACATTAAACATCAATAATTAAATATTTTTGAACTTTGTTTCTTTATGAAGTACATACATGTAAACAACGTCCTCAAATGTTTAACATGATAAACATGATAACGCATAAAAGTGAATAATTCCAATCTTAATTTTATTGATTGATCGATTCCTTGTGTTTTGATTGGACGAGAAGGAATTCAAGAAAATGTTTACACATCGATGAATTTTTTAACCAGAACTACTTTTTTGACTGTTGTAAAAACAATGAAAAGATACTTCTACTAGTCCGTTTAGCTAAATTATGATTACAAAAAACTTATAATAAAAAATGAATGAATGAATAATGAATGAAAAGGAGATAAACAGGACTGAGAGACGGGAATATTATATTTATGTCACTGTCGGATCACGAGTGTGAATTTTTGAAATCGCTGATCATGCTGTCATTTTCTCGACGTTCTATATCAACTCAGTTGGTATCGTAATGTGATAGGGAAAAGAAACGTACCTCAGACTCTTGCCTTTCCAGCATCAAATTCATATATTTACATCCTACATTTCCCATATTCTCCCTAAATCTTTGAACGAACCAGAGCAAATCGAGGACATCGTCGCTTTTCAACTTTGGTCATGACGTCAACATGGCCATGGTCAAGGACGAATTATTTTGGAGAATACGCGTATTTACGATATTTGATGACTTAAACGACAATTAGTGAGTTTTTATAAGTTTAATTATTGATTGTTTTGACAAATAAAGTTGGATTTTATCTATATTCATCTTGTATACGTTTCTTTGCGGCATAAAGTATTCCTACGCCGTACAAAATAACGGATTGTATGGCGGCCTCAAAGAGAAATAATTTTAATAATTAAAAAAATTCGTAATTGGAATTATAAGAATTAAACGTTCTTTTTTCAGAATTTATCGATGTGTAAACTCTGCCTTTTTACTCACAAACTTTACATAAAAGTGCTTCGCACTTTTATTCAGTTTGAAAGTAAAAAAGCAGAGTTTACACATCGATAAATTCTGAAAAAAAACGTTTAATCCTATAATAGTCAATACGTTGTATATGTACAGTGTATATTATCTAGAGTGGTCTTTTGAACATATATGAATACATGATTTTTTTTTATATCCCATGGTCTCTTTCATAAGCAGTGCGGTTCTTAGAGTTTTAGAAAACATTCATTCATTTTCCCGGACAACCTTAAAAGCTTCAAATTTTTAATGCATAAATCATACAGTTTAACATTTTAACAAAGTAAAGATCTTTGTCTTACTCGCTGAAAATCGCTAAATATCTTATATATATGCCAATTCTACTTCATCACTGTCAAGGTCATTCCAGAACCACATGAGATAACGCTAGCTTATCTGGTCTCATATCTTATGCGAGTCGACCATACTCGTAAAGATAACAGATTCATTCTAAAATGTAAAACCATACCTGATTCTGCTCATAAACACAAGATACAAAGGTATTGTTGTATACTGAGAACGCTGTGTGACATGCTCAATCTTTATAGAAGTGTGACTAGGTTTATGATTATAGTTTTGACCCCATCGTCAATAGCCTTCCTCCTCTAACCTATTTAGAATAGTTTCCTCTGTTACATTTATCACAGATGTAAAAAGATAAATGTTTGATCGATTAGCTCCCATTAGAGTGAAATTTTGCCATTTGACATCACAAGTATGATCCTGACATGCGTACCCTAATTGTAATCAACATAATGACGGCAATTGCTCCAAATCAACTGATAAGTGTCGTTTCAAATCGGGGTTATAAATAAATTCTAGATCTATAAAACTGATATTTCTAATAACTTAAAAATTCATCTATTATCACTTTAAACTGATGTAAATGATTAAAATACAATAAAAATTTGCAAACAGGGTATAGAACCCAAACCCCGGAAATCTGAGAGGTAGAATCTGGTGCCTTCGAGGAATAAGTATCCTCTGTGAACTGGTCACACCAACATTTTATATATTTTACGAATATAGTATATACTCTCTTTTGTAAAACGTTTCTTCCATGCTGAATATATATATTAATAAGATACGTGCTGAAATTATTCTTACAAATGGGGTTAGTTCAAGACTTTCAGATTTCCACTTTTCTTCAAAATCTTAATATAACATTAAAAATTCTGATTTTGTTCAAATATGGATTTAAGTACTAAGTGAAAGTCGATGATTTCAATTGGCTATCTATTTTTTTTTTTCAAGTTCCAGTTTTTATTTAAACATGTAATTTAAAAGGCATAATTATATAACTTTGGTTCCTAAGCTTTAACATCAATGAATTAACAAAGCATTGAAATGAAACTGTAGCAGAGGTAGCATTTTTAAGGATTTTCATATTTATTTCTATTTTTAGGATGTAAATTGAAAAGTTAATTGATGCCATAATTGCCGTCGCCTCTAAATTCTAGGGGCATACCGTCTTAACCAATCCACATGTCGTTTGCAACGTCTCAGCGCTAGTGGATTGCAAATGTACGGACATCGTGCACTAATGCCAGTTCCTCTCAGACTCTTGCGAACAATTCGTGCACTTTTATACTGATTTCTTCATCCAGTAATTGTAGCATCTGTTTGTATAGTGCAGGTGCTGAAGGGGGGTCTGACAGTCCTGTCTGGGTGTTGTAACCCGCGGACTGTCAGTTTTTGGTCCATCAAGCGTGTTCCTAACTTGTTGGAGACGTACGTTTAACCACTGCAAAACTGATTGATGTAAACCAAATACAGTGGCAACGTCATATTGCGTAGCTCCGGTTATCATCATCGTTAGCCCGGTTGCGCTCATCTTTGTTAAAGCTTGGCAATGCAGCATCACCATTATAATAAAATCTTTAATATGGGTTGAATAGGACTGTTTTTTGTTTCTCTAAATCCGAAATATCAATGAAAATAGACCTCCGATTTACTAAAAATAATGTAAAACACTGTTTATCATTAACATAATCAATCAAGGAAAATAATTCAACACGCTCATGTTGTCCTTTAAATAGGTCACAGGTGTCCAATGAAAAAAAGATAGTTGTTCCATTCACTTTTTCAAAATTTCTCTCTTGCGTAAATTTATTTGCATTTCTTTTTGTGTTGAGTATATTTGAAAATGAAGACCCTCAAATGACCATATCTTACGTGTTAAAAGTTCCTTTTAAAAATCCCTGCCGAACTTTCAACATGTTCAAATTGGTGACATTACTTTATTTTAACTATGAATTCTTTTCAACAATCTTGAGCTAAAAATAACAAAAAAACCCTGAAAACTTTAATCACACTGTATATCGAGTCTACATAAGAGCTCATTGGTAACAGCTCTAGCTATGTATGTGGTTTACCCTGAAACTGAAAACATAGATGCTCAAGGATATTTCTTCTCTATGATGTTTTAGTGTGAGGAAGTTTGTGCAAAATTTTAAGATGCCTCCTAGAAATGTAATTTTCCTTATCTAGCCGTTTTTCGAGTTATACCGGAAAGCCATTTCATTCTTTTTTTTATCAAGCCGCATCAAAAAGGTTCCTCGACGTTACTTCCTGTAATATTTATTACAATATATTTATTGAATACTCCGATCTCATTAAATTTGTTTCTGTCGTGTATATTTCCTTTACATAACAAGCATAGCATTGTTATGAGTGTAGACCTCAACGTTTTACCCTTTAAGGAGTTTTATTCAACAAAACTTAGTAACATCTCGACAATTCACTTTATATAGATCTGCATTATAAATATACCCGGTAGCCAATGCATGTGTAAGTTGCAGGATAAATACTAGTACATAAAAACCTGTCTTGAAATATATTTATGCGAAAGTAGTGACATATATCAAGCTATACTTAATGCAGGATGTTGAACCCTAGTGCCTTTTCCTGTTGAATAGGACAAATCATGAATGTGAGCATGAACATTTTACCCATATGTTTAGGAATATATTTTATGCAGTCAGAATGATTCTTTTTATTTTTCAAAATAAAAGAAATTCAAACATATCATTAACAACAAAATATTTTCTGCTTTTCTATTATTTCAGTAATATCACAATAATTATTTTGTGAATATTTTTTCTCCTTTTTGAAGATGTAGAGTATACGGATTAGAGGGGAAACAGTGTCTACTCATAAATGATGACACATTTAAATATGTAGTGATCATTGCAAAATACCCATTTTCCCCGTGAGTATTTTGGTCCTGAACAACCAATGCTGTTTCCACTTGCCCTATACGTGCATCATTGACATGAGAAAAAAGTATACATTGTTTACATCCAAATGAATAGAAAAATCCACGGTTATTTTGTTTACAGTTTCTCCAGTAGTTAAAACGAATTATGAAAAGTAAAAAAAAACACATTAGCTTCTATGAATAAAAAAGCAATTAATTCAAACCCTTAATCAATCTTCTACTTTTGGGAGAAGCTTTTTTTCAGGGATTATGTTTGACTAATTTCCTGGTCGCTGCTTGCAATACATGTATTGGTATATACGGGTTGATTTGTCTGGGTTGTGCTTAAAACATAGTATGGTGGTTCCTCCTCACTATAATCATCACTAACATTGCACAAGTTTGAAGATCTATGATTTGTTTCTTGTGGTAAATAGATTTCACGATTTTCTGTGGAATTCTCGATTAAGATCGTGTAATGATTAATATTTTCGTCACGAGGACCAACTAGATTTGCACCATCCTTTTCATTGACATGTTGGTTTTCTTTCCCTATTGCGCAACCTTCGTCTTCTTTTTTCTCAATTTTGACAAGATCGCTATCCACCTGACATTGCCTGTAATAATGGTGAGTGGTAGGTTCCAAATATTCTTCACTTTTTAAAGCTTCAAAACATTGTAGTGGAGGTGAAGTTTCCACAAAGTTTGGGCTGCTGGGGCTTTCTTTCACAGTCAAAGATTGTACAACATTCGTTTTACCATGTTGATCAATAACACACCCATCTCTATCTTGATTGCAAGCATTTTTCATTCTCTTTTCTTCCAATAGTGCTTCCTCTTCCTACAAATTCCGATTTTAAATTTGTTTAATATTCTCACATTACAAAAAATATGTGCATCATTGTTCATAGATGTGTGTTCAGTATACTTACTTCACTATTACTATAACTGTTAGGGATTTCAGAGTATTCAGTAATTTCCTTGAAAGTGACTTCTTCGTCGTCTGTCCTTTCCCGATTATATACCATGTTACGAACCGATAACATTTTTGGTTTTTTAGATTTTCTACAAGGCAAAACAATATCATTCCATGTACTAAGAAATTTTAAATAAATATTTCTTGTGGAGATTACTTTTTACTTTGTACAATTGACTTGTGAAGGCACAAACAAAGCATTTAATGCTAATATAAGCAGATCATTTTTATATAGCTTCACTTAATAATGTTATTGTTACACACATCGTTATAAGAAGTATCATCATACATAAATCTGTGTTAACATCTATGCTTTATTCAACAACAGAAAAAAAAGAATTCTTACCTTTTAAAATATGCTACAGTGACACCTATTCCAAAGAACAATCCCAACATTGCTCCGCCAAAGGAAAAGAGAACGTTCATACCCGTGTTAGTATCTAAAAGTGTCATTTTAACGTTATCAAACGTAATTAAATTTCGTCCAAAAAAAAAATAGAATTTCAAAAACATAAGGACAAGATTTTTATTTCAAGTATACATGTAAACCTATCATTTTTACGCTGAACTGTCTACGGAATATTTCGGTTGCCTGACCATGACAAAGAGCACACGGCTGGTGTGATCGGTCGGCAGGGTCTTGTACGCTCACTCCTACATGACATATGATCTCACCTTTGTTTTTTTAGCAATCCTTGTTTTCTTTGCACCTGAATTGTACGTTTTGATGGACTTTGGAGGTTAAATACAGTTTGTTATCTCAATATTTGTACCATGCATCAGACGCACTTGTACTTTAATCATTAATAGCGTATCAGTACCATGAAAATGATCAAAACGAAGTAGAGAAATTAAGTATCACATTGTCAAAATATAAATACTGATGTGATTTGTTGCGATTTTTGAGCAAAAACAGTATATCAACCAAAACTATTTTTAATTCAGCATAAATCGAGCAATGTTTTCCAGACATATGACAAATTGAACCGGAACAACGTAGTTTTGCCTGTATCCGATGACTTTTAGAAATACCTGTCAAGCGTATGAAATTATGAGAAAATTAATGTTTCTGGGTCATTTAAAAATCAAGACTCTACTCCCATGGGATGCTCACTCCTCCATGGCACCTGATCCCACCTCTGATGTTTTGGAGGTCCGTATTTGCTCTGCTCCTTTTTTTTTTTATTGTTTTATGGACTTTGATATTAAATACTGTTCGTTATCTCCATATCCTTCATCCCATATGATTCACTTCATCCATGCACAGAAGTATACAGTAAATATTAAAATCCCAGGATGAATTGTGACAATGCAGTACCATGTTACATGGCAACTTGTCTCTTCCTCTGTTATCGAGTTATTTATTTTCTAGTTTGAAAAATAAAAAAAAAATGTACTCAGCTTGCATAATCGCTTGATATGTTGAACTTACATATTATCATTGCTGCAAAAAGCCTTTTTGTATTGCGAAGGCTGTTCAATAAATTATGTCCTCGGTGTTAAAAAAGAAAAAAAACACCTTAGATTTTCTGCTATAGATCTTTAGATGCTCTATTTTAATTAAAACATATGTCTGTAACATTTTAATTTAAATTGTTTATTTCTTTTATGATACGCATGTTCTAACATACTCTTCGTATACTGGAATATATCAGATCCTTATATATTCTGGAAATGATATTTTTTCTTTCTTAAATGTTTTTTTCAAGTTTGGAAAAAGGGAACACGTAGCAGAGAGGAAATCGTAACTTAAAGAGACAAATATTGAAGAGAATGGAATATAAAACTAACCCTGTGTCCTGGCAATTATTTGCTCTTCTCAGACCTTTGATTTTTTTGTTTTGGTCAGGTGCATGGTGTTGCTAATTTTTCTTTGGGGTTAAAAGTAATTGAATCTGGTTTAATTATCTGTTAGAATTTTAGACAAATGTAGATAAACATTACTTTCGATTTTTTCTTAACAATTGTTTGGATATTCTTACACACTGTCTTTTTCATTCATTTGTTAAAATATAGGAAATTTTTTGGGTAATACCCTTTTAAATGCCAATGCATTTCTTTAAAAAAAATGAAACATTACTCCAAAATGTTACTAAATTACCTATGCGTGGTAAAGTAATTCAAATATAATCAATATTAATCTGTTAAGTTTTTGGCAAACACTACATCGGTTGTTATTAGTTTTAGTCGCCAAGTACGGTCATCATCTTTGATGCATATTTTTTTTATTTTGATCATTGAAATCTACCTGTTCATTTTATCCAAAAAAAAAACAAACATTGGTTGCTGTAACAGCAAATATCTCAAAGAATATTTCTTTGTTAATGTTATCAAGTTTTACGGCAGCTTTTATGGAACTTCTGACTTTATTTTTACTGATTCTTAACCATTAATTGTCTCGTTTTACAAAGTCTTGCTCTGAAACTATTTGAAGAAACGTGGTCACATAGACGGTAATCAGTTAATTTTTGGAATCACTTTCTAGTTAGTAGAGTTTGCCAGGGAAATCAGCAATAGTTAGAAACGTAGGATAATTTATGCAAAATAGGCTTCGCCATAATCCAAATTATCCCACATTTCCAACTTTTGTGATGCCCGTCGAAAAAGAAAATCCGTCGACAATTCAGTGTGCATATAACGGTCAAACAATTGGTTTGGAAAACGTCAGTAAGCAGTCTACGAAAAATTACAAACTTTGAAATTGATTTTCTTTAAACTTTCAATAAAATTATCAATCATTAATAAAATTCATTGAAGACAGAGTCCTTCCTTTGCGGTCTTTTAAAAGAAAAGTCTCTTGCAGATGTTTATTCTGTGCTCATACAAAAATGTTTTTGTAAAATATTAATCATGAATGTGGTTGATTTGTACAGATCATGTGGTGCTTTTAGACACTCATTCGTGCTACAATTATCGCCCGCGTGGCTCAGTGGTTAGAGCGTCTGCTCTAGAGCCACGAAGTAAGGAGCTGATTCTTACGTCGCGCGCTCAAATCCCACTGTGAGACGTTGAGGTCGGTCCTTCGAATGAGACCGTATAAACCGAGGTCCCTTGTCACTTTAGGTGCTGGCACGAAAAAGATCCCTCCCTACCCAATGGCCCTTAGTGACGAGTACAGGACAAAATTTGCAGCTTTCTATCGTCAATATGAGTGAAAAATTCTCAAAATGGACGTTAAACAATGTACAATCAATTAATCAATCAAGCTAAAATTATTTTGTGTTATAATGCTTTGCAATACTAGTGCATGTCATGACATCATGCAAAAATGTTGTTCCCATACCTCTATTTTTTCGATTTTTGCATAAACATTCCTCTTTGACTGAAGTATTTTCCTCCTTGAAACCATTTTGTGTGACACCGTTTGTACAGATCATATTTTGGTTGAAACTGCTGACTGTTTTATATTGTAAATATTGCTTTGTTGATTTTCTGAGCACACAATGTAGATCATCAGTATCCCGATCACCAATTTTATCTTCATCTTTAGTCGCATGCTGAAAAAATATTGAGGAATTTCTCGTTTTCCTTGCTTTTTTTTACACGAACAATTGGATATGTAACAAACTTCCGATCTCTCTACCAATATGCAAAGAAACATCACACCTTTTTTGTTTTTGTCTAGGACAGTAGAAAGTTTACAGTTGATATCTTTGGAACATTTGTCAAGATGAATTTTCAAACTTTCATCTGAAATGTTGAGAGGGACAAGAGGTTAAATAACTAGAGCCGAGCTCGTTGCAAAGCAACGAATAGGTCTTCCGTTGGAGCTAAAGACAGGAAGACGTAACCTTGAATCTAGGTCAAGCCACATTCTAAAGTTACAAGTAAGCAACCTAAAGGCTTGTAAAGGAAGCCACTTACAATATTTCGCCAGGAAAAAGAATGTAAAGGAATGTATGTGACCTTGAATTTTCTATATGACCTTGCGTCAAGCAATGACAAACTCTATTATAATAAAAATCTAATATGCGTGTAACTGACTGGAAAAGTTCACACATGTTTTTTAGATACTCTTTTAGTCCATACATCCAGCCAAAACATCTTATCTTTAGTGATCTTGAACTTGAGTCAAGGTCATGTCCCACCCAGCATTATATCAGCAATGTTTCTCTGGTACAAATACGGTAGCGAATTTACAGTTTCTCTGTTAGTAACCTTGACTCGTCCAAATGACTGGATATGTTCAGCCATATTTTTTTTTCCTAAACATATATCAAATCGAAAGAATTTATTAGGTTCAACACTATAATTTTACTTAAAGATTTAACTAGAAATATATCTATAGGACATGCCCTACCGAGTGTGCATTAGTAAATACACACTACATTAAAATCTGTATTTAATAGTGTAATGGGAGAGGAGAAAATGCAGCGGAGCAGACCGGAATTTGAACCCGGGCCCCCTGAAACTCCGGTCAGGTGCTCTACCAACTGAGCTATCTGGCCACCGGCGATCGAACCCGGCTGACCGCCACACTAGTGTATGACGTTTGTTGAGAATATCTTGAATAGTATTTTTTTAATTGAAATCTTAAAAAATGGATATAGATTATGAAATCCCCTTCAAATAATGCATAAATGCCTAAGCTTACATAAAAATATCTCATATGGTTGTTTTTAATACTAAGCAAAATGCAAATCAAAGACAAGTGAGGTTAAAATAACAGAAAAGTGCAAGATCAAAATGTATCGGCATACTGAAGTTTGAGAAAAATGTCTTGAATGGTTTCTTCAAAACTGAGCGTCGCCCGTGTGGCACAGTGGTTAGAGCATCTGTTCTAGACTAAGGTTTAGATAGCTCTCAGAAGTGTGTATCAGCATATGAAGTTAAGTAAAAATATAAATGCTCTCTTCAAAACTGAGCGGGTCCTTCGGATGAGACCTTAAAAACCGAGGCCCCGTGTCAGCGGCAGGCGTTGGCACGATAAAGATCCCTCACTGCTCAATGGCCCTGAGTGCCGAGTAAAGTTCAAAATTTGAAGCCCTTCACCGGCATTCGGTGACGTCTCCATATGAGTGAAAAATTCTCGAGAGGGACGTTAAACAATATACAATCAATCAAAACTGAGCTAAATACTAACTTAAATAAAGTGAGATCAAGGTTAAAGGAGAGGTCAAATTAAAAAGAAATACGGATTTAGTTGAACAGCTTACATTAGTATGTATCACCATAAGAAGTAAATGAATACTCAGTCTTGAATGGTTTGTTTCTAATGAGTTAAACAGTAACCTGAGAAAAGTTAGGTTAAGGTCAAAGGAAAGGTACAAAAAAATTTGATGCAATTACATAAGTGTAGCCTTGTACGTAGTTGCACATATCAGTACATATCGGCACATGAAGTTTGATTATACTATCTTGAATGGTTTCTTTAGAGAAATTTTTTTTAAAAATTAGGTCAAGTTCAATGGAAAGGTCAAAGTCAAAATATGTTGATGCAGGAAAATAGGTTGTGACTTTCTCTTGGAATTCAATACCAGCCCCAACCTACATGTATACTGGTGTCTCATTCAGAGGCGTAGACACAAACTTAAAAGTGGGGGGGGGGGGGGCAAAAAAACCAGAAATTCTTTGACAAGCAAAAAAAAAGTAAAAAAAAAACAACCAAGATTGAAAGTTCCCCAAACTCGAAAATCCTATTTCGGGGGGGGGGGGGGGCTTTTTTCAAAGGCAAGTTACTTTCAATTCCAATTTTTTTCCAACAATTCTTCAATATCACTATACTATGGTAAAAAAATGGGGGGGGGGGCAACTATCCCTTCAATAAACATTTCCTATAGTAAAGGTTATGTTGGGGAAAAAAGTGGGGGGGGGGGCAGGTCTTGACGATTTAATTACTATATTATTACATTACTATATTATACACCTATTACTTCAAGAGAAATGCTTACTCAGTTGTTGGACTTAAAAAAATGCCATAGAATGAGGTTTAATATTATTTCAAAATAGCTGTGATTTTGTTCTTCATTGAAAAGTGGGGGGGCACAGACATACTCTTGCCCCCCCCCCCCAGATTTGAAAGGGGGGGCTAGTGCCCCCGCTGCCCCCCCCCCCCTTGTGACTACGCCTATGGTCATTATATTGCGGTACTTAATTCTTTTGCATAAAAAGTGTTTTTTCAAATTATATGTGTCAAATTATTTTCCAAGTTTGCATCATTTAACAGTTTGCATCATTTAACTTGTGGACAATTTTAAAAACAGGAAGTCTAATTTACCTATTACATTGGAGAGTCTCATTGTTTCACGGTATGGGATTACATGGTAACTTGTACATGATATGACCTCAGTTTTTATTTTTGAATTTACCTTCTAATTCTGCATGAAAATAAACAATTGTACAATCTAATTAAAACACTTTTAAAAGATGAACTTAAATTGATTCTAATTTTTACAAGGTTATGAATTTGATGGTTTAAATATAATAAAAACGGAACTGGAAATCTGTAATATTACGTTTTATTTGAATTTTTTTTTTCAAACAGACGGTCCATACTTTTTAATCATATAAATAGTAAACATTCAGACAACATACAAATTGTCCATCAACAAAAAAAAATACTCTATGTATTCGAATTTTTGCAAGATGTCCCGATACAATGAAACCCGCGATATATGATAATCCAGTACACACATACCTAAACAAATCAACCGATTGACATTCTCGGGTCAGTGACTGTCCAGGAGGTTAATATTACCGTTATTGAAAATAACCCAATATCAGAGCGATCGAACCAATAATTTAGGTACATGTACCTCAAATACACAGAAATACAATAAGTAAGAAAAGAATTTAACTGATATTAAGTAGAAATGAGACAGTTATGAAGTTTTCTAATTTTTCTAAAATCGTATTCTGAAAGCCCGGGATGTATATATTTTGGCCGCTTTTTTATGTAAAAGTGCATACATGTATATATAATTATACTGACATGCACGTACAAGCATGTACCCGTAAAATCGTGCAATTGAACTAGTCCGTGTATTCGACGAAAAGTTTAGTTGCAAAGAACTGCAAACTCAAAAGACAGTGCTTAATTAAATTTTCGGGTTTTTCCCGTGAATTGGAAACGTTACTTCCATATGCACTTCAATTATCATGCATGTGTCATGAGGCATAAAACTTGATAAATGCACCAGCGGTTACGATTTATTAAAACAAGCATGAGATAGAGTGAAATAAAATAATATGAAAGCGTCGACATGATTTCAAAGCCAATTTCCACTAGTGCTAATTGTAACGGGAACCGTTACAGATGTTCCCCAAACGCTCCCCAACTGGTGCAATATTCCCATTACATAAGACAAACTCTATGCATTTGAGACTTTAACAACGTTTACCCAGAAGCGTACCAATTTCATTCAAATTTTAGCATTTTAATTCCACTTGTTCCATGTGCGTGCGTGCATGTCCATGATGGCTATACATTTTTGTAGGAGTCCTTATATCTATCTATGTTCTAAATCCCATCCTGTTTGGTTGGAAAACAAGGGAGTTATAGCCATTAAGTTTCAGCCAATCAGAGTGCAGCACACGTGCATGTGCGTGATTTCATGAATTTTTTTCTATATCATATTGTAAGATATCCTAATGCATTTCTATGTTTTAAATTTCAAAGCATTTCGTCAAAAAACAAAGGAGATATAGCCATTTAAAGTTTCAGCCAACCAGATTGCAGCACGTGCACATGCGCATGCTTTCATGAAAATTTTGATATATCATGCTGTAGATCTTCATAATGTAGAACTATGTTCAAAATTTCAAAGGATTATGACAAAAAACAAGAAAGATATTGAGACTTTAGTTTCAGCCAATCAGAGCGAAGCGCACGTGCATTCGCGTGAGATCTTGCTATTTTGACCATGCCATCTTGTTTATACTACTAATGTATCCTTACATTATGAGTTTCAAAAAAATTCATCAAGAAATAGAAATGTTACGGCTTCATGAATTATATTGGTTATATCACATGTTGCACGTGCGCGCTCTTTCCAGCACACATGCATGTAGGTGCTTTCATGAAAAGTCTTATATATCATGCTGTAGACCTTCATAATGTGTGACTAAGTTCAAAATTTCAAAGGATTTTGACTTAAAACAAGAAAGATATTGAGACTTTAGTTTCAGCCAATCAGAGCGAAGCGCACGTGCATGCGCGTGAGATCTTGCTATTTTGACCATGTCATCTTGTCTATACTACTAATATATCCTTACATTATGAGTTTTAAGACTTTTCATCAAAAAATAGAAAAGTTACGGCAATATCCATTATATTGGTCATTTCAAGTGCTGCACGTGCGCGCTCTTGCAAGCACGTGCGCGCAAAACGACCTTCGTTCGGCAACTCTACATAACATGCCTACTACCCCTAAAAAGGTTTCACCTAAGTCAGATGTTTTGTTTACAAGATCACTCGTGGACAAGATTTTCCCAGGAAGAAGAAAAATAATAAGAATAATAATAATAAGAAACAGA